CGGGTTATATCAAAGGTTATAAAAATAGGCTGGAGAGAAACTGGAAGTATTCTAAACCACAGTCTCACACACTTTAGATAGATTTTATTGTCTTTGATAAGAAAAGGAGCATGACTTCTTTTGCATTCAGATCGCTTGCTCTAGGCAGCTGATACCATTAAATGTTATTTCAGGCAGAAGACCCAATATGAGAGGGAGTGACTCAATGAAGGAAGCCATGGCCTTCAGTTTGCAAGACCTGAGCAAGGCTGTTGATGATAGGGCATTTAGGATGGCATTAATTCATGTGTGTGTGCATGCATATTAAGTACCATCAAGTTGTTTACAACTTTTGGCGACCCTATGAATTAATGTCCTCCAAAACATCCTATTGTTAATAGGCCCACTCAGGTTTTACAAACTGTGGTTGAGTCAATCCATCTTATGCTGGATCTTCCTCTTTTCCAGCTGCGTTCAACTTTTCCTAGCACGGGCCGGATATCGCGGGGGGAGGCGTGGCTAATTGCCTCGGCGCAGTTTGATCCGCGATTATGCAATCAGATGCACTGGCGGCATACCACGAGTCCTTCCCTCGGCGCTGAGGGACCAGAGGGGAATGCCACGCACTGGTGCGATCACACCACCGGCGTCTGGAGGCAGCCCATGGCAAACGTTTACTACTACCTTGGAGGTACTAGTTTTTTAACACGCATTGTCGGTGGTAAGCCACGGGTGCGCTCCACTTCCCAGATGTTGGGGTGTGATCGCGCCCGGATAATCCGCCCACCATCCGTGCCTCTCCCGCGGCAACTTTGCTGTGTGACCGGGGCCATTATTGTCTTTTCCAGTGACTCGTCTTCTCATAATGTGACCAAAGGGCAATAGCCTCATTTTAGCTTCTAGGGAGACTTCACGATTGATTTGATCTAGAACCCACTGATTTGTCTTTTTGGTGGTCCATGGTATCTGTCAAACTCTTCTCCAACACCAGCTTTCAAATAAATCAACTTTCTTCCTGTCAGCTTTCTTCGTTGTCCAACTCTCACACCCATACATAATAATGGGGAAGACTATGGCACGAGTAACCTTGATCTTGCTCATCCTTATACTTAAAAATCTTTTCTAGCTCCTTGATGACTGTCCTTCCCAGTCTCAATCTCCTTCTGATTTCTAGGTTGTAGTCTACCTTTTGGTTGATGAGGAAGCCAAGGAATAGAAAATCTTCAACAATTTCAGTTTCTTCATCATCATCCTTAAAGGTAAAGGTTCCCTTGCTCGAAAGCCAGTCAAATCCGACTCTAGGGTTGCGGTGCTCATCTCCGTTTCAAAGCCGAAGAGCCAGCACTGTCTGAAGACATTTCCGTGGTCATGTGGCCGGCATGACTAAACACCAAGGCGCACGGAACGCTGTTACCTTCCCACCGAAGTGGTACCTATTTATCTATTTGCAATTTCTTGCTTTCGAATGGCTAGGTTGGCAGGAGCTGGAACTAGAGACAGGAGCTCACTCCGTCATGCGGCACACTCGGGTCTCGAACTGCTGAACTACTGACCTTCCATAGCCTGCAATTCAACTTACAGTTGTGTAATTCCCCAGTAGTTGTGACTTTTGTCTTCTTGATGTTCAGCTGCAATCCTGCTTTGGCACTTTCTGCTTTAGCCAGTAGTCAGTTCAAGTCTTCAGTATTTCTCACCAGTCATGTTGTGTCATCTCAGATTGTTAATCTTCCTTCCAAGAATTTTCATTCCATCTTCATCAGACTATATGGTGTGTATGGCCCCTTCCAACTCTATGATTCTATAACAATAGCCAGCATACAGGTTCCACATCAAAACAATCAGATGTGGTAAAGGTAAAGGTTCCCTTGCTCGAAAGCCAGTCGAATCCGACTCTAGGGTTGCGGTGCTCATCTCCGTTTCAAAGCCGAAGAGCCAGCGCTGTCCGAAGACGTTTCCGTGGTCATGTGGCCGGCATGACTAAACACCAAGGCTCACGGAACGCTGTTACCTTCCCACCGGAGTGGTACCTATTTATCTACTTGCAATTTCTTGCTTTCGAACTGCTAGGTTGGCAGGAGCTGGAACTAGACATGGGAGCTCACTCCATCATGCGGCAACCTGGGTCTTGAACTGCTGAACTACTGACCTTCCACAGCCTGCAGTTCAGCGTCTTAACCACTTGAGCCATCGCAGCTCCTCAGATGTGGTAGCACATCCATTTCTTTGAAAACCAACCACAGCTTTTCATGATCCACACAATCAAAAGTGTTGCTGTAATCTATGAAACCCAAGCTGATTTTCTTCTGAAATTCTCTCGTATTCTACCCTTCTAACCTTGTAGAGGTATATTGATTCTGTATCAGCTGCAGAAAACTGGAGCAGGACTCTTTACCTTGTGATCTATGCATGCTTTGCCTTTACTTTTCAGCCAACATAAGCAGCTGCAGGGAGATTCTTGCAAGGGGGGAAAACCCATCTGATAAAATTGTTTGTGGTTTGGTGCTCTGCCTTTGTTTGTTCAGGTGACACACACAGTTCACATGATGGCTAAAACAGTTGAAGAGCATACTGGAAGCTATTTGGCACTTCTAGAGAGGGCAGCAAATGGACTTAACCGAACATCTGATTCCCACATGAAGCCTCTGACCCCATTTCATCCAAATCACAGCTCTTTCCTGTTTCATTCCATCCAGGACTTTTTTTTTTTTAAAAGAGGTGCCGGAACTTTCAAGAGGGAAATGAAGTTTTCAGTCTGTATACAGAAAACCCATGAACTTTTAAACATTTAAAAAAGTATTTACTTGAAGAGGTTCCGGAACTCCATTCCGGTACATTTCACCCAGAAAAAAATGCTATCCTGATCCAAATTATCAGAATAATTTTTTTTTTTGCTATCCTTTCCTTATCATGTGTTTTTGCTTGTGAATGCTGATGTAACCTAAGATTTGGAATTCATGTAAAAATCATACTAATCTACGTTATCAGTGTTGGAAATATGTGTGTGTGTTGCAAGGTCTAATTCAGTCATTATAGGGTTAATCTGCTTTACCTGGTGTGCTATTGTTTAGACTGACCTGGAAGGAATATCTGGCTCAGAGCAAATCTGTTTACTCACAATCATTGGTTAATGCATTCAGATGATTTCCTTCTAAGGGTCAAGAAGAAGGAGAATCTCCATTACAGTTGCTGTTGAGAGACCGTGTGATTGGTCTGTTTGTAGCTCTGAAGATGTAACCTTAGTCTCTGTTATTTTGTGGCTTTTCCTGTGAAAAATAAAGATTTTTACATAGAAAGAAATGCCTCCTCTCCAGTGAAGCAAAGATCCACTGCAAACTCTGAATATTAAGTATTTTTGTCTATTTGTCCAACAATCAGATCCATTTACTTGTACCTTGGTAAACCATGAAACACTGAACCTGTCTTTGGGGACTCCATGTAAAAATCACAAGAATCCATGAGGACTCCTGCCTGAGATTCCAATTCTTCCATGTGCCATGAAATGTCTGGATCCATTCTTGGCGTGGTGCATTTTGTGCACGTGTTTGATATGTGATTTGGTAATGAGTTTTGGGCGATTGTGTAAAAACTGTGGGAAGCCATGAGGAACCATGTTTTTTCATGCATGTTTCCTTCCCTGGGTAGTATCACAAAGTGTTAGATACATATTTTTGTGGTGCTGTTATGTGGTGCAGAATGTGGTCATGGATGTAGAGGTGTGATGTGATGTTGGATTTTCAGGGAATCTATGTAAAATCAGAAGGTATAATGAAGAAAACTGGGTGCACAAAACTCTGGGTCTGGGTGTTTTGTGATGCAACCTGTAGACATAATGCATGGGTCCCCAATGCGGTGCCTGTGTATGTCATGATGACACCCACCAACACCTTTTCTGGCACTCACCAAGTGTTTTTAGAAAGTGGTGGGGCTTTGTCCAGCAAGGTTTCTGATTGGCTATTGGTGATTTGATTGGCTCTGCAGATTTTTTTGAATGTTGCTTTGACAGCAGCTGCCACCACACTTGTTTGTAATTTGATGGTGGCTTTGGGGGATGATTTCTGGTTTTTTTCTGCAGCTATTTCTACAACTAGAGAGTCCCTGTAGCACTTTCACTATTTTCCTAATAGATCAAGATGGGCAACCTTGTTAGTCTTTCTTATAGCAGTAGAAAAGAGCAAGAGTCCAGGAGCACCTTAAAGACTAACAAAAGATGTGGTAGGGTATGAGCTTTTGTGAGTCACTGCTCCCTTCTTCAGATACCTTAAATCTTCAGATACGTTAAAGACTAACAAAACTTGTGGCAGGTATCTGAAGAAGTGGGCAGTGACTCACGAAAGCTCATACCCTGCTATAAATTTGGTCACTCTTTAAGGTGCTACTGGACTCTTGCTCTTTTCTATGTACATAATAGTTTTTGTAAATGGGCCACTGATGTGGTCTGGATCACATAGGACCCTAAGCCCGCTTCCTATACTTCATAGCCTATTGGCCCCAGGTTTTTGTACCCCTGGAAGCTTGCCAACCTCCAGGCAGTGCCTGGAGATCTCCTGAAATTACAAGTGATCTCCAGGAAACAGGGATCAATTCCGCTGGAGAAAATGACTGCTTTGGAGGCCGGACTCTATGGCATTGTCTCCCCTCCCCAAACCCCGCCCTCCGAGGCTCCCCCCTCAAATCTCCAGGAATTTCCCAACCTGGCGTCCACAACCCTACGTGAATCTGCCCACTAAGGACATATTGATGTCTGACAAGTGGGAGATCTTCTGCCGCACGTGAGTCTGGAACCCGTCTCTAAAAAACACTTCTATGATTCGAATGCTTTTTGAATGGTGGGGGAGGGCTCTAAACCATAAAGACAGAAGCTCTCTCTTCAACGGAAGTCCCACCGTGACACATAGGCCTCTTCCAGGACCTGCCCGACAGCGTCTCCCTTGTTGCCAAGGGCTGGAGGAATGTCACGTGGACAGATGGCGTATAAACGCCCGCCCTCCATGTAAAGCGGAAGCGGAAGCTTGGCTGAATGGTGGGAAGAGGAAAAAAAAAGAAAACTCGTCAAGGTTGCTAAGTAGCGGGAGGGAGGAAGTACAGACGGTTGGGGGGGCGAGCGGGGGTAGAATGGAAGAACAGTGAGTGCACGCATGCGCGTGACGGCCGCTCGTCCTTTCGCAGGTATGTGCATCTCAAAGCGGCTGCAGAGGCAGGTGAAGGGGAGGATGCCCTTCGGCCAGGGCACGAAGAAAGGGGAAGGAGGGGATGCTGGAGCTTACTCTGGAGGGAGCGGGATAAGAGCCGACTCGGGTTCCTCGCCCCTTGTGTGTGTGTTTGTTTAAAGCGCCTCCCCCCCCCCTTTTAAAATTTTCTTTCAACATTTCTTCCCCGCTTCCTCCACCCCCACCCATCCACCCATGGGGACCCAAAGCGCCTGACAACATCGTTCTCCTTTCCTCCGTTTTTATCTGCACAACAGCCCTGCAAGGTAGATTAGGCTGAGAGAGAGAGTGGGAGGGTGGCCCAAGGTCACCGAGTGGGCTTCCTTCCATGGGACGAGTGGAGATCCCGTGCGAGAGAGAACACTCAGCCGTGGAAAACAGTCGCCAAGGGGCGGAGGCTCAAGCTGCTCTTCCGCCGGGGAAACCTCCTCCCTCTTCCTCAGATTCTACCCCTGGAGGGATTGACGAGAGTTCCCTGTCACGGCCCTTTCAGTGTACGTCCCTCTAGGAAGGTGCTTGAGAGCAAATCAGCCAAGTAGCTGGAGCGTTTCTGGAGAGGGTATTTTTTAAAGGGTTTTTTTTTAAATAGCCTAAAAAAGGGGGGGGGGGACTTCCATTTGTTCTAGATAGCCTTTGGGGTCCTTTTTTAATTTACTTTTTTACTGAAATATTTCCTTTTCACAGTAGACCTGTAGCAGGACCTGAGTCCAAGCAGGTAGGGTTATCTTTTGGCAGAGACTCATTTTTCTGGACCAGTTTCAATCTGGTTTCAGGCCAAGGTCTGGAAGAGTGACTGCTTTGGTGGCCTCGGTTGATGACCTCTACCAAGAACTAGGCAGGGGGGAATGTGATCCTGCAAACTCTGCTGGATTTTTCAGCAGGCTCTTGGCACTGGGGTGGGGGGCCCCCACCATGTTGCAGTGGTTTGAGTTGTCTCTGGTGGGGTGGGGGAGTCTCAGAAGATGGTGCTGGGGAGTTCCTGCTCTGCCCCATGGCTGTTGACCTGTGGGGTTCTGCAGGATTTGATCTCATCCCCCGCCTGGAGAAAGCATGCCAGAGCCGGAGAACAACAGCCCTGCCACCTGGGTGCCGGTAGGCAGCCCCACCCCTGTATACTATGTGGCCTTAGTTAGGGAAAAATGTATTTGAAACTACCTGTAAACTGCTCAGAGACCCTTTGGGGTCAGAGCGGTAAATAAATCGAATGTATAAATAAATAAAGCTATTTAATATCTTACATGAAGCTGATGGGAGAGGAGGTCATCAGGAGGTTTGTGCTGCAGTGTCACCAATCTGTAGAGGACACCCAGTTCTGTCTTTCTTTTCCGTCTAATTCCAAGAATGCTGTTGATGTTCCAAACTGGCACTGGGAGTCATTAATGGGCTGGATGAGGGTGAACAAACTGAAACTTAATCTGAAGAAGTGAGCAGTAAGCTCATTTGTTGTTGTTCAGTTGCACAGTCGAGTCCGACTCTTTGCGACCCCATGGACCAGATCATGCCAGGCCTTCCGGTCTTCCGCCATCCTCTGAAGTTTGCTCAACTTCATGTTCGTTGCATCTATGACACTGTCTAACCATCTCGTCCTTTGCCGTCCCCATCTTCTTTGACCTTCAATCTTTCCCAGCATCAGGATCTTCTCCAGTGAGTGCTCCCTTCTCATTTGGTGGCCAAACTATTTGAGCTTCAGTTTCATTATCTGGCCTTCCAGGGAACAGTCAGGGTTGATTTCTTTTAGGATTGACTGATTTAATCTTCTTGCAGTCCAAGGGACTCTCAAGAGTCTTCTCCAGCACCATAGTTCAAAAGAGTCTATTCTTCGGCGCTCGGCTCATACCCTGCCACATATTTTGTTAGTCTTTAAGGTTCTATTGGACTCTTGCTCTTTTCTATTAATCCTGAGAAGACAGAGGTTTCTCCGGGTTAGTAGAAAGGCAAACTGGGGACTTTAGATCTCTTTTGTCTTGGATGGGATCATGTGTGCGTGTTAAGTGCCGCCAAGTCACTTCTGAGTTATGGTGACCCTGTGAATTAATGACTTCCAAAATGTGCTATTGTTAACAGCCTTTCTCAAGGGATTGCAGGCCATGGCTTCCTCGATTGAGTCAGTCCATCTCATGCTGGATCTTCTTCTTTTCCTGCTGCCTTCAACTTTTGCTTTGCTTTTTTGTCTTTTCCAGTGACTGTTGTCTTCTCATAATGTGACCGAAGTACAGATAGCCTCATTTTAGCTTCTAGGGAGAGTTCAGGCTTGATTTGATCTAGAATCCATTAATTTTGGTTGTTTTGGCAGTCCATAAAACTCTCTGCAACACCACGTTTCAAATGAATCCACTTTCTTCTTGGCAGCTTTCTTCATTGTCCAACTTTCAAACCCGTATATTGTTAAACGAGGAATACTGTGGTATGAATTATCTTGATCTTGGTCACCAGCGACACATCCTCACACTTAAGAATCCTGTCTAGCTCCTTCTTGGCTGCCCTTCCCAGGCTCAGTCTCCTTCTGATTTCTTGGTTGCTGTCTCCCTTTTGGTTGATGTTGGAGCCAAGGAACAGAAAATCTTGGAACCATTCCAATTTCTTCATTGTCAGAGTTGTGTAACTCCCCCAGCTTGATGTTCAACTGTAATCCTGCTTTGGCATTTTCTGCTTCCAAGTTTGTCAGTAGTTGTTTCTGCAGGTAATGTGGTATTATCTGCATATCAATGGCTGTGATCACACACACTAAATAATTAGTTAGTGTGTGTGATCACAGCCTTAGATTGTAAATATCCCTTCTACCAATGTTTACTCCTTTCAGTGTGCATCAAAAGTGGATTGAAAGTGGATTAGTTAGTGTGTGTGATCACAGCCTTAGATTGTAAATATCCCTTCTACCAATGTTTACTCCACCTTCATCTAAATCTAATCCCGTTTTCCTTATGATATATTCTGCATATAGATTAACGCGATAAGGAGATCAAATACATACTTGTCTGACACCTTTGCCAATTGGGAACCATTCTGTTTCTCCATATTCTGTCCTAAGATCCTGTCCAACGTATAGGTTTCACATCAAAACAATCAGATGTGGTGGCACACCCATTTCTTTTAAAACCAATCACAGCTTTTCATGGTCCACACAGTCAAAAGCTTTGCTCTAATCCAGGGCTATTTTTGAGTTCCGGCTGGCTCCCAAGTTGGCCACACCCAGCAGGAACGCATTAGCATAATAGGCCACACCCAACAGCAGAAACTCATTAGGACTGGCTACATTAGGGGTGTGTGGCCTAACATGCAAAGGAGTTCCTGCTACAAAAAAGCCCTGGGTTTTGACAACAAACAAGGGTAAACAGAATAAGAAGCAAAAGGTGGGTGTGGCTGGATGAGCAGACTTCTGGTAACATGGGGGTGTGGCCTAATATGCCAATGAGCTGTGCTGTCAGGGGTGTGACCTAATAGGCTAATGAGTTTCTGCTGTTGGGTGTGGCCTATTATGCTAATGAGTTCCTGCTGGGCTTTTTCCACGAAAAAAGCCCTGCTCTAATCTATGAAATACAAGCTGATTTTCTTCTGAAATTCTTTTGAATGCTCCTGTAACCCAAGTAAATTTGCAATGTATAATCTCTAGTGCCTCCAGGGGGTGATACTTCCCTTGAAAATTCAGGGTTGCGTACCCATTTATCTACTTGCTCCAGTAACCCAAGTAAATTTGCAATGTATAATCTCTAGTGCCTCCAGGGGGTGATACTTCCCTTGGAAATTTAGGGTTGCAGCTTGGGAGTGCTACTCAACACAACAGCCACCTTAGAAAAGAGGCCCAGAGTGCTTTTTCCCAGCTTTGGCGGGTGCATCAGCTCCGTTCGTTCCTGGAAAGTGTACATCAGAATGACCAAGATATCTTCTTTGGAAATGTGTCTGTAAGAAACAAACAAACAAAAATCCCCTGATGGAGCTAAAGCAATATTTACCATGTCCCATTTTAATTCCATTTTTTTTTCAGTTTTAGTAAGAGACATGAAGCAGCAGGCCATAAGTCAGCTGTGACTTGATTGCCTCCCCCAAAAAAGGTTTAAGAAGCTTGTGTGAATTTATCACAACCCAACAAAGGCCCTTTTTTTGAGGGTCCTAAATGAATATGTTAGTTTAAACAAAAATATCATTTGCAGATTATTTAGGAGGACAGCTGTCTTTTATTAGTTTCATCAAGCCTGCCAAGGAAATAATGCTTCGATTCTTCTAGACTGTGAGCTCATGGGACAATTCAAACATGCAGGAATAGGTGTAGTAGAATCTACTTGTGCGACTGTATCATATTACATGGGTATTGCCTGTTTGAAAGCACCGAACATAAAATCATGCTCTATATTAAAGCTTCTGCTCTGGGCAGAATTCTCAGAAACAGCATGAGAGGAATTAACATGGAACTGTGTGCGCGCGCACGTGTATGTGTTTGTCTTAAGGTGATCTGCCCCGTAGCCTGATTGATCTGACCGGTTTTCGGATAATAGGGGATTTCCTTGCTGATATGGTCAGTGCTCCTGACAGTGCCCTGGTTGACCTCTGGAATGAGGAAATCACCTGGGCACTGACCTGATGGCTCGTCTGCACCCACTCTCAGGTCCTAAAAAACCCTTTGGTTTACTGAGGGGCTGTGGATGATGAAAAGCCAAGGGAGACAGCTAGAGCGACAGTGGCAAGGCGCAGGCTAGAGCGCATTTGAAAGCCTCCTCAGTGGTGTGGTGATGGCAGTGAAGAAACAATAGTTTTCAGCCACCATTCCATCTGCACAATGTAGACCTGCAGAACTCTTCTGGGTACTCCAGAGCCTATTGGGTTCTGGCCTACAGGAGGAGGTGGACTGCTCTGCAGCCCACTGCAATCATTTTGCTGAGCACTGTTTAAAAATATATATTTGTATTGATGTCTTACATTTCATATTCATTCATAATCTTTTTCATCAAGTTTACATAACCAAATATCAATCAATTTTCCCCTTTATTATTCCCTCCCGCCCTTCACGAGCAACTAGAAGAAGAACCTTATTATTATATTTGTAAACATGAGCACACCCTATGGAGTTTTATCAGTACATATTTATTGGGGCCCCCTTCTCTTACCCATCTTATATACCCAAACCATTTCTTCCTTATCTCCAATGCCTTATCTTCCCATGTCTTATCCTGTAAAATATCTGATTGAATCCATTCATATAAGTACCAGTTCCATCTTTCCAAAGTCCATTTTAAGGCATCTTTCCATCCATACGCTATTATTGCATGAGTTGCTCGAACCATAGCTTTAAATAAATCCTTTTTGGATTTGTCTGCTTTATTATTTCCCAGAATTCCCATAAATAGTACTTTCTCATTCAGCTCAATCTTAACGTTACATAAATTATCAACCTTTTCCAGGATCAGTTGCCAAAATTCTCTTACCTTAGAGCATTCCCACCAAAGATGTGCATAATGTCCCCTTATTCTTTTACATTGCCAACACTCTCTGATTTCATTCCCCTAATCATATATGATGATTGAGCAGGTATCCTATACCATTTCAAGATTAATTTCATTTCCAGTTCTTTAAATTTTTCCATTTTTATTTCCAGTATTCCCTTCATTAGTCTATTTACCTCCTGTGCTGAGCACTTTGCAGATAAAATGTCTTGCATCTATTTTGATTTGGACTCTACATTAGCAGTGACGGGAACAGATGGCTCCGGGGTGCTGATTTGTCCATTTGTACCCTTTAGCTTGTTCCTCTGAGTATGTGGATAAAATTCTCGGAAGTTTAGGACCTACCACCCACTTGTATGACACTTGCCCCTCCGGGTTTCTTGAATCTGTGGGAGGTGGTGATGGATGGGGTCTGGGAGATAGTAAATGCCTCTCTGAGAGAGGAGGTGTTCTTTCCTGCCTTGGAATGGGCAGCAGTGCGTCCACTCCTAAAGAAACCTACTCTGGACCCAGGAGAGTTGAATAACTACTGCCCAGTCTCAAACCTACCATTCTGGAGCAAGGTGCCTAAATAAGTGATGGCTGGGCAACTTTGGGAATTTTTGAATTAAGTGGATTGTTTGGATCCATTCCAATCTCGCTTCAGGACTAGTCATGGGACTGAAACCGTGGTTGCTTTGGTGGGGGATGGACAGGGAGAATAAGATCCTGTTCATTCTCCTGGGCCTCCCAGCGGCTTTTGATACCATTGATCATGGTACCCTTCTGGATTGCCTTTTGGGGTTGGAACTGGGAGGCACTGTTCTGTAGTGGCTTTTAGTCCTACTCTGAAGGCAGGTTTCAGGGTATGGTGCTGGGGAACTGCTGCTCTGCCCCTTGGCTCTTGGCCTCAGGCGTTCTACAAGGTTCCATCTTGGCCCCTATGCTTTTCAACATCTATGTAAAGCCACTGGGGTGGTCATCTGGAGATTTGGGCTGAGTTGCTGCCAATATGCAGACAACACTCAGCTCTATATTGTGCTTCCAGTGGATCCTAGGGAGGTTGTGGAAACTGTGAACAGGTAGTCTGGTGGGGGTTTTGGAATGGATGAGGGCTAACAAAGTGAAACTTGATCCTGACAAAACAGAGGTGCTACTGGTGGTGAGGGGGGGGAGGTTTGATCCAGGAAATGGGATATCTCTTGTTCTGGATGGGGTTGCACTTTCCTTAAAGGAACAGGGTCGTACCTTGGGGGTTCTCCTGGTCTGAGGATAAACAGCCAGCAGTGGTGGCCAGGGCTGTCTTTAATCAGTTTTGGCCAGCTTCATGGGCAGAAAAGATCTGGCCACTGTAACATCCTGGGCAGAAAAGATCCAGTAACATCTTGATTAGACTACAGCAGTGTGCTCTGTTTGGGGCTTCCCTTGAAGACTATCCGGAAGCTACTGGTGGTACAGAACACTGCAGTCAGAATTTGTGGTATCTGATTTACACAATCATGGGATATGTTTTTAAAATCTGTGACTAAAGCTTTGATGCGTTACATAAAACTGTTGCTTCACCTGCTTCTTTCCTTGGCAGCCTTCTCTACCCTTTCCTGTAGATCAGTGCCACCATGCCCAGCCCAAAGAACAGCCCGAAGGGCAGCCGCGAAAGACGGGCTCCTGGCAGCAGGCTGGAGTTCCTGTCACTGATGAATCCGAAGAGCCAGGGGTGCCCAGAAAGCCCATCTCGTCGCAAGGACCCGGCAGCCGGCAATGCCACTCAACAGGCTCTACCCGAGGAGGATTGCATGAAGCTGAACCCGTCTTTTATGGGTATTGCCCTGCGCTCCTTGTTGGCCATTGACCTTTGGGCTTCCAAACGGCTAGGGGTGTGCGCCGGAGAGAATTCTTCATGGGGCAGCGCTCGCCCCCTCATGAAGGTCATAGAGATCTCGGGGCACGGTATCCCCTGGCTCGCGGGCACCTTGTACGGGCTCTGCAGAAGTGGTAGCTCAGCAGGCCGTGAGGTGCTGATCAACCTGCTTTTTGGTAAGAGCTCCCGTTCCTCTCTCTGCTCTCTCTCTGACCCAGTAGGGGCTCCTTATTAACACTACTTCCAATTGCCTTGGTTCTTCCTGCCAGTTGGTTCACTGGTGACCCTGTTGTCAGTGGGTCTGGTCAGTATTTTGCCTTCCTGTCCTCCTTTGCCTGTTAGGAAGGATCCTTTAGGAAGGATCTCCCAGAGCACCATTTTTCTGCTCTCAGGTTTGAAACTCTCCCTGTTTTGTATGGAAATGAGAATGTAACTAAAAAGCCATTGGAACTGCCGCTGTATTTTATTGCGGCACACATCGGTTTCGATCTTTATTCTTCTGCTTTGGTATAGAAGCACTGGGGAACCAGAATGGTGTTCATATATAAATTCGGGTACACATCTATCGATACATAGAACTGGTAACAAAAGATGTTCTTAGGGAGACAGGCTTGATGAAGCAGCAGCACAAAACAAAAGGGATCACAGATATCCACAGGGGAAAAAACCACAAGCAAACCCTGTGATATGAACAACATTTATAAGATTTACATTGCTTTTCTAAAACTTTACAAAATTGCAACAATTTGTCCAACATTCTCACTTATACTATATTGCAAAAAAGTACACATGGTCCAACATAATGAGTACCCGGTTGTGAACTCATTTCAACTTTATAGTCTTCCTCAGATGTAATCCAATATTTAAAGGAGGTGTCAGCTTCTTAAATCCAGCTCAGCATTGTAAATTCTTAATTTCCTTCATAATATCCTGGAATAAACCATAATCAATAAAACTCCACATGAAGCTGCATGGAAAATAGTTATTTTAAACTTATAATAATTTAGTTTTTGTAATAATTTAACTTTTAGAAAACTTTCTTCTGGTTCCATAATAAGTGTTTATTTTTGGAGCAAGCCAATCCTCTGTAGGTACAAAAAAGCCTCCTGGATTTTACTGGCCATACTCTCCACAAACACTAACTTATTGCTTACACAAAGGAGCAAATGGGTACTGGACTGGGAAATAGATTAGAAGGTGGGGCTGCTCGAGAGTCTGAGAGTAATAACGGGCTTTTTGTGACCTTGCTTGTCTCGAAGTCGTGCTGCCTGCTCTTTTTTCAATAGTGTAATAATATCCTGGGAACCAGGCTTGCTTTGACTGATTATAACACAGTGTTTCTGGGCGCAGTTCAAAGTGCTGGTCCTTTAAGCCCTTGGAACAGTTTAGGGCTGAGTTACCTCCCATGCTGCCTAGCCAGCCAGTTAAAATCCTCTTCCCAAGCCCTGCTCTCTGTGACTTTGCCTGCAGAGGCAGAAGGCAAACGGGGGGTAGGACCTTTTAAGTGTTGGCACTTATTTGTTGATTAACATTTATTAGCCGTCTTTCTTGCTTACGGGGTTCAAAGCAGTTTACAAACATAGATAAAACACATCAAATAAAATACATTAAAAACACGCCTTTGGAATGTCTTCCACCTTGAGGCCTTCGTGTCACTTGCCTTACTTTCCTTGAGGCATCAGGGTAGACCATGCATGTTTACCCAGGCTCTTAATTAAGGGTTTCCATCTCTTTTAGCTTTTTTTTTTTAATGGTCCACTGCTCGCCTTAGATCTATTTTTTGGTCTGTACATTTAATCTATGGAATATTGTTTTATGCTGTTTCTGTGCCCCTGGATGTTTTTTTTTAATTGGCCTGTGAATATTAATAACGTGTCTTTTTACGAATGATTTTATTGTATTGTTTTTAATCTTTTGAGCTGCCTGGAACAGGTTTCTGGAAAGGCAGTGTATAAATTCTGGAAATAAATAGAATGTCTTGGCCTTGGTTTTATTCCTTGGTGTATATGGTCATCCGCTGCTACAAACATAACCTGGAATTCTGTTAGGGTTGAAGAACTGTGACTGTTGGATGAAGGACAGTAACAATGAATCCTTAAATGCTAATCAGTGTGCCATAACCTGAGCTTTCATAGGCAAGAACTGCCTTTCACCTCAAGAGCTGCAGTTAGCGTATGGTCCGGACTATGGTACATTTCTTATGGTGCCATCCTAAACTGACTTATGCCTTTCTAAGCCACCTGACTTCACTGGGTTTAGAAAGATGTAAACCCGCAAGGATGGCACCGTACACCTCTGTGGCTTGTTGTTTATAGCGTTCCTCCTTTTTAAAAAAATGTCTCTGTTCCTTGTCTCCCAGCTCTGGTGCTTGATCTTGTTTTGGTGGCACTAGTGAAAGGACTGGTAAGGAGGCGGCGCCCCACCCACAACAAGATGGACATGTTTGCCACCATCTCCGTGGACAAATATTCCTTCCCGTCGGGCCACGCCACCAGAGCTGCCATGGTCTGCCGATTCGTTCTTCACCACCTTATCCTGGCCGTCCCTCTGCGCGTCCTGGTGGTCCTTTGGGCCTTCATTGTGGGGATTTCCCGAGTCATGCTGGGCAGGCACAACGTGACCGATGTGCTCTTTGGACTAGTCATGGGCTACATGCAGTACAGCGTGGTGGAGTACTTCTGGCTGTCGGCCATCAGTGCTCCTGCTCTCTTTACGGTGTGGAGTTGACGATTCTTAATAGAGCAAGTCCACGCATGATTGGGCTCCTTGTAGCATAAACTGTAAATAATAATAATAAAAAATCATAGAGCTTCAGCTGTTAAACTAAGCATGGGGCAAGACCAGCAAAATTCATTCCGAAGGGCACATGCGCGACTTCGGCCTGGAAGACTTAATTGGTGCCATGTTGTTCTCTGAATGGGCATCAGTCAACCCATAGAGTATCACAAACATTCCAGACGACGCAATACTAGGAACTTTAAAGCCACCTCTGGAGTTCAGTTGCCTGCCGTATAGTAGTTATTTCGGAGGATTTGTGACTAACGGCGATCCCTGTGAACTGGCCCATACACAGCGTGTTTGTTGCACAAACATGGGTAGGCTGTCCCAGAAGCGGCTGGTGGGATTTATTTTTTTATACAATGGCTGTACACTAGATATTGTGTAAACTGTTTGCATGTGCTGTGTGCGTTCCAAATGGTGCTGGTAGCTTGCTTTTGAAATTGAAACAATACGGTATCATGCGGCTGTCTTGACTTGATTGCATGACGGACTTTCATCTTTAGGGAGCTGGCTGGACTCTCTGAGTTTTAAAGCTTTGATTTGCTGATCAGCCTGTCCTGGGCGTGGCTCTCATCTGCCTTCTTGAGCGGTTTCAGTCATATCTCGTAAGAGGGCTTCCATTCATAATAAAAAGTATCTGAGCAGTTTGGGGAGGAAGGGATAACTACAGAGAAGGAGGTCTACACTTCACAGGAAGAGACTGTTTAGCTCGGGGGTCCCCCAGCGTGCTTGCTGTTTTTAGAAAGTAGGCAAGGCCAGGTGGGGCTTTCCCCCAGCAATACGTCTGATTGGCCATTGGAGAGTTGATTGGCTGTGCAGATTTTTTACAGCATTGCTTCGGTGCCACCACAGCACAAGGATCTTCACTTTGTGACTGAAGGTAAGCTTTTTGTGACTGGCTCCACCTCCTGAAGCAGCCGTTTTGTATTTTCACTCACCATACTTTTGGAATTCCAAAGGTGCTCGCAAGCTCAAAAAGGTTGGGAACCCCTGTTCTAGCCTACTTTCATTATCCCACACCAGACGGATTAAAAAAATTCCTGGATTTGCTTGACATTCAGAAGTGCTAAATATACAGTGGGTTAGATTGAAGTCATCCATCCAGTTTTTCTGTTGGTGAATAAGGAAGGAAGGGGTGCCCTTTGAACTTTAAAAAAGACTACGTTGGGTGTGTGTATGATAGGATCTACTTGTGTAAAAGCTGTGTGGGATGGTAGCTGTAGGTGAATTGAGTGAAAAACCTTGCCAGATCCAACCCAATGTACTGAGAATAAATTAAAGCACTCTTGGATGTTGCAGGTATATGAGTTGAGCAGTTGTAATGAAACTCTGAAACCACTGTCAATTGATTTGAAGTTGTTTATGTAGAGAGGATATACCCGTCCTTTTATGAGAAAGCCATAGCCCTTGAATAATGAAGTTATCCCTCTGGATTATTTTGATGCTGTTGAGTTGAAAAGGCAATGTGAAAACACAAGGCCATGAAAGTAATTTCAACAGCTGCCTATGTCTACATCTAACAAAGAGCAAACCCAGAGAGCATATCAGGGCAGCAGGAACTATATTAAAGAAGGAACACATATCATCCCTATTAATTAGAAAGATCACTTCTGAACATTATGAAACCGTAAAAAATAAAAAATGCTGTTAATGTTGGAGAAACTTGAAATCCTGGTATATAATAACAGCCCCAAAGGCTGTTTACTCTTCACATATATGTGTATTCAGTAATTAAACAATACTGTTTTAATAAGATATCGACACTGGAATAGAATAATTACAAACATCTCAAGCAATAGCAATAGAGCAGCAAGCCTTTGCACCCAAAGTAGAAAAGATATCAAGACCATAGAAACCAGAAAGACGGTTGTATTATTTGCATGGAGAAATATATAGACCAGCATTAACATGCAGAAACTAATTTCTAGAGGGAAAACTTGGCAATAAACATACCTTCAATGTAATTCGTCTTATTTCACTGAGAATTCTGAAAATATTTTGTTTCCTGTGAGCTGGGAGGGAAACTTTCACATATTTTTTTATATTTTTGCCCAACTCTTTTAATCTCTCGGACCAAAAAAATCATTTAAATGTTAGTAATTGCCTAAGGGCTTAACTACACATTATGTTTTCCTTGTGCCCTCTTTGGGGCGATACAGTCAGCAAAGGGAGCAGCCATGACTTAGTGGTCGAGCATCTGCTTAGCATGCAGAAGGTCCTAGGTTCAGACCCCACCATCTCCAGTTAGAAGGATCAAGCAGTAGGTGATGTGAAAGACCTCTACCTGACACCCTGGAGAGCCACTGCCAGTCAAAGTAGACAGTAATCACCTGGATGGACTGACGGTCTGATTCAGTATAAGGCATGTTCATGAGTATTACAAGGTCCATGATTGGGGAGAGGTCTGATTTAGATAGAGACTGTGGTGCTTGGGGAGAAGGGGCTTATACCTCCCTCCCATGCTGTTTTTCATATCAGTACATGTGCACACCCGACAGGACAAATAGTGGTTCTCTGGGGTTATTTCATGTAGGGGAAATGGCACGGGGGGAGGGGGGGAAGGTCTAAGCCCATTTTCCTCGTGTGCCACAGTCCTGATCTGAATCGGGCCCTCACACTTCTAGGAGTTAAGTTCCCAGCCCAGAACTCAGAATGCATGTCTGACTGAGAGGCTGTGTAAGGAAGCCTAATTGTTTTAAATTCGGTGTTCTTTTTTAGTAGCTGTCAAGAGCTCCTATTTGCCATTACTTGTAATGCAATACTTGTGGAATGGTTTTTAGATACAACTTTGTTTATGAGTCTCAAACGGGCGGCCCTTCAGAGCATGCAGTGTTAGTAGCAAGGTGAGGAACATAAATGCCAGTTTGCCATTTGTTTTCAAGTGCCTTTACAGTATTTTGATGGCGTGAAAGAAATGTACAGTAATGCCAGGAAAGAAGTTGCTTGCAAAGAGTCTCATTTAATACTGGTATGAACTGTTCTATGGAAAGAGAGATTCTTTATTTGAAAGGAGAAGAAAAGTGTGGCAGAATGGCTTAAAGATCTAAGCTAGGGGTCCCCAACGTTTTGACCATAGGCACCATGGCATCTGCTGACACCTTTTCTGGGGCCCACCAAGTGTTTTTAGAAAGTGGGCAGGGCCAGCAAGGCTTCTGATTTGTCAGTGGAAATGTGATTGGCTGTGCAGATTCAAAAAAATTGCTTTGGCAGCAGCTACTGCCATAGCATAAGGATCTTCACTGTGTTTGAAGATAAGCTGCAGCAGCCATTTTGTGGCTGGTTCCACCTGCTGTGGCGGCCATTTTGTGGTAGCTATTTTGTAGCTATGCCCACCATGCTGTGTCAGAATTCCAAAGGTTCCTACGGGCTCAAAGAGGTTGGGGAACCCTGATCTAAACTATTCTGCCACACTTTCCCTCTCCTCTCGGAAAAAGAATCTCTCTACATAACAGTCCATTCCTCTATTAAATGAGTTTGGGGAGCCAGAACATACAGAGGAAGGAGTTTCAAGGCAACTGCAAAACAATTTCTTGAATCTAGAATACGGAGCAGAGAGCGATGGATGAAAGAGCCACATAGTTCTGCAGTCTTACTGAAATAAAGGTAAAGGTTTCGCTTGCTCGAAAGCCAGTCGAATCCGACTCTAGGGTTGCAGTGCTTATCTCCGTTTCAAAGCCGAAGAGCCAGCGCTGTCTGAAGACGTTTCCGTGGTCATGTGGCCGGCATGACTAAACACCAAGGCGCACGAAACGCTGTTACCTTCCCACCAAAGTGGTACCTATTTATCTACTTGCAATTTCTTGCTTTCGAACTGCTAGGTTGGCAGGAGCTGGAACTAGAGATGGCAGCTCACCCCGTCTTGCGGCACCCGGGTCTTGAACGGCTGAACTACTGACCTTCCACAGCCTGCAGTTCAGCGTCTTAACCACTTGAGCCACCGCAGCTCACTTACTGAAATACTGGTGCCTTAATGGTTAAAATAGTGAGATGATCTTATCTGACTCCCAGTTTACGCCTGTGAATAGCCTCTGCTCATGGCCAAAGCAAGTTCAGGGAAGTATCTCCAGCAAAGGAATATCTTTTTGCCCTTTGATAATAATAATACTTTTAAAAACAACAAGTCCATTTGATGTCAAAGGCTTTAAATGTGCATTTAAATGTGTTTTGCCCTATTTAGTCCTCCTTAAGTATGGATTTTCAAAGACCAACAGGACGCAACAATATGTACACTCTTCTAACTTAGATGCTGTAATTGAGGGAGGGGGGCTGTAGCCACATCAGTTATTTGTTCTGTAATATCTTTTAACAGATTTTTCTTCTCTTGGCAAAAGATTCTTCTGTGTTATTAGTCACCAACAGATTAACTTTTCAACATTTAAAGTTTCTTCTCTGGACTTTGCTTTTCTCGTTTAACCAGTTCCATTTATCGTTGGTGTGAAAATGGATAGAAATGTATATATCTTTGTTCACAATATTTTCAGTATTTTTTTACTCTGTATAATATAGGACTATCTCTAGTGCTGTACAAAGAGGACTTCGTTTCTGCCTTAGTGACATCCTGTGTAAAAACACACACAAAAAAGTGTTCCCTGCCTGTATTGTGCTGTAACTGACTGGAATCCTTGCCCCTGGTTGGGTGCACCCATCTCTCTTCTTGTGTCTTAGATCCACCAAATATAATGTCTAGCTGGCCCTCTCCTGCAAATAGTGTTGATATTCCTGCATCTTCTTACGTTCTGCAAATGATTCCTCTTCTGCGTTGGCTTCATGGAGAAGAAATAATCTTTATAGCTGTCTGTCTGGCATCCTCACCTGTTCAGCGTCCTCACCCGCTAAGAGCCACTATTAGCCCAAGTGACTTGCAAATGAGAGAGCATTGTGCCTTCATTCAAGTACACGTGCAGGTCCTAATGTTGTTTGCGAGCACTGTTCCAAGCACTGTGAGAGCTTACTCCGTTATGAGCTATTGTATGTCCAGCGTGTTTTTGTAGATACATACTTCCATCACGATGTTCTTTGAGCCTTGTAAAAGCACAACGTAGATCTCCTGATGTGTGGTCTTTGTGTACTTGTCTGTCACTAAATATAATGTCTAACTGGCCCTCTCCTGAAAATAGTGTTGATATTCCTGCATCTTCTTACGTTCTGCAAATGATTCCTCTTCTGCGTTGGCTTCATGGAGAAGAAATAATCTTTATAGCTGTCTGTCTGGCATCCTCACCTGTTCAGCGTCCTCACCCACTAAGAGCCACTATCAGCCCAAGTGACTTGCAAATGA